CACATGTGACAAATGATATTGTTATATTTCCCTTCAATTGTTCCATTTTTGCATCGGAATATCCTTCGGGACATTTGTTCAGGCACAGCTTTGGTGCCAGATCTTTCAAACCCTCCAGTTTGTTGCGTGAGACTGCAAGAGACATGCCACCCAATCAGTTGAATCCGCGCCACACCACCCCAGCGGATCGCAGTCTTTGAGGCCCGCCCAGCGCACCTTCTCTGATCAGCTCTTCCGTGCGCGCATCGCGGCACACCCGGTCATCGTCGCTTGGGTTTTCAACGCCGGTGGAGCAAACGCTGGCGAATGCCGAAGTGTCTGCACGAGACGAGGATTCGATCCTGGGAAGGAGAACTGGAAAAAATATTTATATATATTATGTATATGGAAGGTTTCCTGGTTTTGCTGAATCTTCTGAAGTGATGGTTTATTTTCCTTCTGGGTACCATCTCCGTCTTTCGGAATATATATTCAGCCGATGTTTTTTTCCAGTCCGGTGCCTGGACGACGGTTCCTGGACGGCTCGCAGGGGGGCTTGAAAAAGAGGACGCAATACACGCAATACATATCTGGACCTTCAAGGGGGTGTCCTGGTTGGAGGTCCCTTGGTGGTGTAGGGGCTTCCATTGGCGACCCCTTTGAAGGTGCTGGTAGAATGTCTCGACCAGGAGTTTTAAGAGGTGGGTGCTCTCGGAGGTGCCCAGAGATGCTCCCGGAGCACCTCCACGCCACCGCCGGGGACACGCCAGCGGTCCTGAGGTGCTGCCAACGATCCATCGTCTTCCGGAGATGGGCATCCCACAGGTGGCGCGCGTCGGATGCGTCGGTTGTGTGCGTCGCGGATCGTCTGGGTTTTTGAAGAAATCCTATGTTTTTGGTGTGATTTTGAGGTCGATGTTTCCAGGGTGAAACAATGTGAAACATGGATTTCGATCATATTGGATTAAAGGTACTATTGTGTATGGATTAAGGACTTGAAGAAAGATGTGAATTTCCAGGTTGGGACGCTTCGTTGGATTCGATTGTGTTTTTGAGATCTTGCAAGGGGGCGACATCGAACATCATCGTTGAGGTTGGCCAATAGCTGTCACGAAGCAACATGATCAAGGTGGTTCACTTGCCGCGCGTTGCGGCACCTTGGATGATCAAAAAGAGGTGAATGAAAGAGGTGTCAATGAATTGTTTAGTTTGTGATACCCAGTTGACTGGTGCTCACCGCACAGAGGCTTTCAGTGTGTTTTTTGGGGAGCTGGTGAACTGCATTCGGAACACTTCTTTGCTCGACCATACGGTGATCGCAGCCTGCAGGGACCTCATCTATTTGCCCTTGCCCTTGCCTTGTCACTTTGAAGCCCTCACAGATGTTTCTCTCTCCGAGTTCTGCAGACCACAGATCTCAGACCTGACCGTGTCACACGGAACCCGTCTCTCGGCTCGCTGGGTTGGGATTTTCGCGTGCGAGAGACGATGGTCTCAGTACTCTGGGGGTGCCCCATCTCCTCAGGTTTGGTGAGGTTAGACCCCCCTAGCACACCACCCACCCCCCAGGTCCCGAACCAAGTTCACACGGTCCAGGCCCAAGTTCACGGAGCCTCGACCGAGGTGTGTGTTTTGGGTCGCTCCAATGTGGGAAAGCCACTGGGCCTTTGGGGCGCGAGCGCATGCCATCCTGGGGACCAGCGCATGCCGTCATCCATGCGCGTGAGTTTGAGGCCGTCATCATCCGTCATCCATGCGTGAGTTTGAGGCCGTTCAAGAAATCTACACGATGCCACACGCATCGAAACCCAGAGAACCCATGGGACAGGAAGATGTTGCTTTAAGGAAATCCATGGGTTCTCTTCCGGGTCCGACCGAATCGGACTTTTTCAGATTTACATGTCTTTGCCTAGTATACACCCAGACACGACCCGTCTGGGACTGGTATATTTACCGATCAATTGGACTGGGCCATTTTCGGGGTCTTTCTGGGGCGGCAGTCCTATGGCAGTCCCATGGGTCGTGTCTGGGACATTTGGCATCACTTGGTCGAAGTTTTTGGGTCAACTGATCGATCAATCGTTGGTGGAGGTCCGTCCGGCTGCGCGGTGCTTGGACCTGTACGTATCGGTGTCGGGTCCTTTCCCGGGCGGTGCCGGTGCCCGTGCCATTCCGGAGGTCCAGTCCTGTAGCTACAGAGGTTAAGTGACCTTATAGATCTTATAGGACCCGTCACCAGGGGTACCTATAGGATAGTCTATAGGGTTCTTCATCCTCTGCTGGTAAGTCGGTTGTTCTGAGTCCAGGGTGTGAGTCAAGCTTTGTGAGGCAGGGTGGAGGAGAAGAAAGGTCGAGGATTCAGAAAGGCCTCGTGTCTTTTTGAGACTGCAGCTGGTGGGGTGACTGTATGTGGATCAATGAATTTAGGAAGCAAAGACAGATCAGACATGGATTGGATGGTAGTGACGGATGGTAGTGACGGTGCTCCACTTTGACTAATTGGACATGGCTTCAGATATGTCTTGCATCCACATGTCAACGGAAAGGTGGTCGAAGGTGGCAACTCTTGTGCCAGGTGAACCTGCTCGGCTCCGCATGTCACTCGAAGACGGAGTACCGAACGTACAGATCATTGGGAATGACTGCCCTTTCAACCTAATAGCGATGGCCTCCAAAAAAAAACGAGCGATGGCCTGCAACCGAATAGCGAGGGTATTTGTTTCTTGAATTGTAATCTCTTCTGTCAGACAGTGACCATTGAAGTCTTCCAAACGTTCATGGTTCACACGCCGCCCGTTCAGAACAAGATGGGCCCGCGTTCGAACAACGCTACTATATCATACTGTAGACTGTAGACCTACATTACCCAGACACTCCATGTATGCCATATATGCCTACATTGACCCCCAAAACCACCCCAATGTAGGTAAATATACCATACATGGAGTGTCTGGGTTATATGATACAATTTTGCGTGGAGCCGCCAACGTGGGTGAAAGCCAACTGGGTCGCTGGAACGGTCTTCTCAACACCCCGAGACCCAGGAGCCTACCATGTGATGAACACTTGTCCGTAGCCTACCATGTTTTTGTCAGTTTCAGGTTCAAGAGTTAAGACGGATAGACTTATCCCTGGGGCTCCAACTACCTTCCTTTTGAAGGTGATCGGGGTGGTGGCCAACGGGGGTTTGTCCCCTACCTTCAGAGGATATGGGCCCAGGAACCCTAAGGTACAGTCAAATTGAGAAACCTGTTCATCAAATGTTCCATCCTCATTCAGGTCATCCTTGATCAACGCGCTGGTGCATGGCAAGGATGTGTGGGTGTGTGGGCCAGGTATCCAAAGGGTGACTCAGCATTGTGAGCCTAAGTTTGTGAACTGCTTTAAACCTGATTCAGCAGCATACACTTCATGTTGACATCGAGCTATGGTATCAGTGGAAAGTTTCACATTTGTAAGACAATCAAATATCCAATTCTTTAGGATGCTCTTTTGGGTGCATGTAGAGATTCATTCATCAAACTGAGTTGCTTTACCAGGTGCTCAGCCTTATTTGCCATATACAAGGATAGCAATGTTCATCGAGGTTCATGGCATGGTGACTGGGCACTGGAGAAAACCCAAGGGACAGACCTTAACTGTCCATCATTGTTTGTAGAGTCAGGTAGGAGTAAAACATAGTAAAACAGTCATTCTGGCCAATCATTTGTGCGGCTGCGCCCGTGCCCTCTTTCAAGCCGTTTCAAGCTGGCCGTTGTCAGGAGGTTATGCCAGACACGTGCCTCCCAACCCATCCTTGTGTGGTCCTTGCGCGGAAAAGGGTTTCTTCTTATGGTCATCCCGGAGTCATCCCCTTGACCCTTGTCCTTCATAAGTAGCTGGGTTTTCACTCCACTCAACCATGATTTCAGCGTAGGATGTTCTTCCTCATTTTGTCTCACCGGATCTGAGCGTCCAAACTGGGTGCCTCATCCGTTCGTTAGGTGCACCGCGGGGCGATGCCGCGCCAGGAGATTGCGCGACCCTCGGAGCTGCCAGGGCGAACCAGGCACGTGTTTCGCACAGCGGAACGTAGATGTGGGAAGTGGGAAGCTCTTTCAATACTTATCAGTGAGACTAGGTGGTGAATTGGATCGGCCCGGATTTTGTATTGGTTTTACTGCATGCCCAAATTGGATTGAACATGATATACTATACTGATATACATTTGATATACTATGTATTGACATGTGAGGAGAACTACATTGGATGCTTATGTGATGATATGAGGAACATGATATGAGAACTACATTAGAATTATATTTGAGGAACATGATATGCTTATAATGATGATATGTATTAACATGTGAGGAGACGATCAGATGTGAAGATGTCATCAGCAGCGGTATGTGAGACGAGACGTGAGACGAGGCCTTTTACCTAAGTTATCTGTGATCATCACTGTCCAATGATGTCCATACCAGTTCCCAGCCCCTACCCATCATCTCTGGCTTCCAGGCTTCCAAACCGATGGGCCTATGGGGTCCCTGCTTGGGGAGACGTGATAGTAGCAGGGGTTTCCCTGCCGGGTTTGGTCCACCTCACGTTCGGGTTGCGATCCATGGAGCTTCGGAGCTACTCCAGCTACTCCACGGGGATAGCAAGGAAGGGACGAGCCACACCACCCCAACTCGCTCATGTGACTCCTGGATGTTGTTTCTTTTCCGGTGCCAAAACTCGAGAATTTCGCGGAGTGTGAAGATCCCTGGGGGTTTGTGCAGCTATTAACTGGTTTTTGAATCGAGTGTGGTTCATTTTTGGGGGGATGAACCATTGAGCAAGCGCAATTCAAGTCAGTTGAAGATTGTAACATATACCAGCCAGCTGCAAAAAAAAATCAGGTGAGCTCAAGTGACAAACCCTGATGACGGCGGTCAATATACCAGCCAACGTCAATTGATGACTTACCCTATGGATCCACATACCTTCTGAGGTACAGTGATTGGAGACTATTTATGTAGGCGCCAGGAGACCCAGATACCTTCTGAGAAGGTATGTGGATTATTAGGGTTAGTGGTTTACCATGACGGCGGTGCTGCGTTTGCTCTACCCCTAAGGCCCAAGACCTCAAGGAATCACTTCTCCCCCCAAGCCACGAGGGAGGAATCAGCAAACCGGAGAAATCTTCAAGCAACGGTTGCCCGAATGATATGGTATCATCTATGGGTCATTTCTTTGTGTCCAACGATTATTGCATTTCCCTTGAAGGTGGAGTTGTGTCAACCATTCCGAGGTGTTGGAGCCATTTGTGTCGCGGGTATTCATCCAATTCCGCAGACTGAAGTAGGGAGAATGAGTACTCCTCTTTGACGGTGATTGTCCCAGCTTCTGTTTTCCAATGAGCAAAACCCATGACCTCCACGAGTTCAAAAGACTCAAGGAAGTGGAAGACCACCTGTTTTGGTATTCGGAAACAGGTTTTTTTCAGGGCTCCTTCTTCACTGCCATGTCAATTTCTAGGAGTATGGGATGTTCTGTTCTTTTCCGAGGTCATCCCGTCGGACGCTCTGCTTTGCCGGCCCTTCGGCCTTTCGGCTGTGGCAGTTGACATGGAACGTGTTGAAGACATCAGAGCTGCAGAAGACTGAACAGACCAAGGAGTCGCATCACTTCCTGTCACAGACCTAGTAAAGTATGTAGCTTTCGAGCATCCATCAAGATAAAGGAAAGTGATCTCGTTTGGGCATACTCACTTGATGAGGCATGCGGCATACTCACAGACATTGCTTCGTTCGCGAAAACGGCCACCCGCTGTGTGCACCTGGCCACCCGCTGTGTGCGGTGTGCCACTGTGCGGCAACGTCACGATGTACCGGAGACTGTGTGCTCGGAAAACTGACGATGAGTCAGCCTCCTACAGTGACCTGGAGAGGATGGTTGGGGTGTTCGGGAAGGAGCTGCCAAGTTGCCAAGAAGCACCCAAGGATTCCTGCACCAGCATTGATTTCATGCTTTTGAACCAAACAACTATAAGTTTACTCAGGACTCGAGGCTACAATGATGCTGACCCTCCTTTCTTTGGTGTCGAATGGAAGGCTGCCCCGACTGGGTAAAGGCAAGAATGACCTGTAGACGGCGGTGTTGAAGATTCAAATGATGAGCGTTGAAGTGGTAGAGATAAAGACCCGACAGCACTCAAGACCCGACAGTTCATTAATGGAATACAGAACATGTATGTGTTTGAAGGTGTTACTTCCAGTGGTTTTCATCTATCATATTCCTTTTGGGTGTATGTATGTATGTATGTATGTGTGTGTGTCCGGTTTCCAACTACACTCATCTACATCCCCAAAAAGCAACATGCCCAGACGCTCCAAACAGCCCTTGGTCCCTCAAAACCATAGGGATTGGTTCGACCCCAGACCCCTCCAGAGGATTCGGGTCCGACCCCTCCAGAGGATTCGGGTCCAGGGTCGCGTCTGGGTGTGTGTTAAACCTCTTGGGTCATGACCGCTTTTGCACCTCTTTGCAGACTCTTTGCATGGATCATGTCAACCCAAAAAGATTCGGTCGGAGATCAATGGCGTGGTGAAGCGACTCCCATTCTGGTCCAGACGATGTAGTATATTGCTTAGGTGGTGGAACGTTTCAGTTTTGGTCTTGAAGCATGTAGGGTTTGGTAAATAATACCTTGTTGACCCTTCTAGCAAGCCAAGGCTCCTATGGGGTTTCCCAGCGATGCCCAGCTCTCTTCGCCCACAGGTAGCTTCACTGGACAGGTCATCGTTGTAGACCTGTCCGAGCTGGATAGCAAGTCCAGTGAAGACTTTCAGGGCTCCAAATGGCTGGAGAACAAGAGCCTTGTCTCGCATTGGTTCGACGTCGAGTCGAAGCACTTGAATCGGCGCACACACCAGATCGATTCATCGAAGGAGCAGGAAGGAATGGCCCGGCCATGCCAAAGGTCTCAAGAAACACGACAACAAACCAAGACACAAGTCACAATACCTCGTTATTCTTCGTTCGTCCGATGTTGTTTTGGTACAGTTCGACGACTTTTTTGCAAACCGCCTAGAAACAAGCAGTCGACCCAGACACTGCGACTGCGACCGCCCGAACGTCCGGTCCCTCTTTCACCTGATTTCAGACCCATTTCGGCCACTTCTTCCCCCCCCCAAAAAAATAAGCGTCTGGGTTCAGCGCATTGGCCAAAAGAACAAAAAGCATCAGCAAGTCGGCATGTTTCTTCAGATCACCTTTTGTGATTTCTTTTGTCTATATTAAGTCCCTAAAACAGAATTTAAAAAAATGTGTGGATGCTGGTTTGTGGCATTGGCAATGTAGTAGGTAATCTCTTGCATACATGGAGTGTGCGGGAATACTCTATTGCATTCAAAGTTCAATTCATTTGATGAAAAGAGTTCTTGAAACAAGTGACATCATGTCATCTTTCAACCTGAGAACTATATAGTTATACGTAGGGTCTGTCCTATTGCCTGTAACAGTCAGTAAACAAGCAAATTATCATTTTTGAACAAGGCCTGCAACATAACCATCATCATCCACTGTTACAGGTAATAGGATAGATCCAAGTTATACGCTATATATCAATATATCATTGCTTTGTGTAACAAATTCCTAGCTGCTGCTCGTGCTTTTTGGTCGCTATGACCACGTAACCCCCCCCACCCCCCCAACCCACGCCAAGAACGCCTCCAGCCTCGCCTCGCCTCCACCGGGCGAGACGCGAGGAGCCGGAACCGACAGCCGGTGGGCTTTGATCTCGAGTGGCCCCCCGACCGGATGAAGGCCCGGCCCGGCCCGGACTGGACGACCGGACTGCGGTACCGGACAACGGACCGAAGCTGACCGCCCCGAGTTACACACGGCGTGGAGGAGGGTCCGACGCGTCAGGGGTTTTTTGGGACGCGAATTCTCGGAAGATCGGTGGATGGGAGAAAAGGAGGACGTCATTGATTCATGAGCGGCGCGGAAGGGCTGGGGGCGTTGCCTGCGGTGGAACCGAGCGGTTTTGCTTGAAGAAAATGAGAGAGAGAGAGAGTGTGGAAGGAGAAGGGAGAGGTCGGAATCTGTGGTACTTAGACCAGGCACATTATGTGTGACACAGAGAACCGCAGAGAATTACCTAGGAGCCTCATGAGTCCTTCTTGACCGACTCCCACTTGTGCTTGGAGAAAACTGTCCCAAATGGAACGAACCACGTTCCAGAATCATGTTTGTTCATTGAAATCATTGAAGGGACCTCACCTCAATTCGACAATTCCGCTCACCCAGATCACAGCAATTCAATCCATGGTACCCTTGAAAAGTGATATTTGTTCACATATTTTCACTCAAAATTGACATTGAAACGATCCATCTTTGAGGAAGTGGGGTGATAAAGGCACTCGGGAGTGAGAATAGTTGCTCCAGAATGGGTTTTGTTGCTCTGCAACGTGTCTTGAACGCAAAGCGAACCTTAATTGAACACAAATTGAACGCAATTACGGTTGGACTGTTTTTTCCACTCCGGAGTGCTTTTTGTCACGACTTTCCAAAAGATGGATGATTTCAACATCGACACGTGATAATTCTCACTTCAGGATGATCCAGGATTCGACCATTCCGCGCTTCGTTTTGGTTCGACTTCCGCGGACCGATTTCGATCCCTAAGGATTCCAACAACCCCATCGCCCTCATGCAATTCTCCGACGACGAGACGGCCCTGCTCGTTCGCACGCACCGCACGGTGCGGGTGCCTCAGTCCGGTGACGAGGTCGACCTCGCCAACGCATAGGTCGAGTTACCTACACCCAGACACGACCCGTCTGGGACTGGTTTCCTTGTCCGATCTACATTGGTGTGGGCCATTTTCGGAGTCTTTCTTTCTAGCGGCAGTCCGTCCTGGCAGTCCCGTCGACGGGTCGCGTCTGGGAATGTCATGTCAGCCTCAAAGATGTTCTGATATTAGCACGGAGAGTGCACAGGTTTTTCAGAGTCTGACCATTTGCGGAGGCAGAGTGGAGCCTCTGGTCTCTTCTTATCCCTGCTAGCATCCAAAACAAACCTCCCATCCCCAGCCCAGTCTTTACCTCCCTAGCGATCTGGTCCGTCCTCCAGTGCGACCCCCGCAGCTGGGTGCACCACCTGATCGCCCCTCCAGGAGCGCTGGCTGCCGAACATCCTCAAGCAGGTCTTAAGCTCGGAGAACTGCCAGAAGATTTGCGGCTCGGAGCAGCTCGGGGCAGCTCGGGGACGATGTGAGACTGTTTGAGCAGTGCCGGGAAATGAAAAGACATTGACGTTCTTGATGGATCCCATTGTTGGTCCGTGATTTCTTTTTTGGTATTATTTGTTTGATCAATGCCTGCTGGCGAAGCGAGGATCCCAGGAACTCAGTTGTCACACCAATACACTTGTACTTCTCTCAGTTGGCAGTCTTTTCTGGCAAAGAAATCTCGGAGGCGCTGTGAGGGATGGAATCTGTTTTCTTGCATGTAGGTTCCCAGTGAGGGAGTTCTGTTTTTTCTTTTGAATCAATGGCTGCAACGAAGAAGGCAAGGAATTCAATTTGGACCAACATCTTTGAGTCCGGAAGATCACCAGTCAGATTATGAGAAGAACTGACCTAAAATCTAATAATAATCTAATATATGGATGATTATATTGTTGTGTTGTTTTGTTGGTTATTTTGTTGGTTTGGTTTGGTTTGGTATTTGTTTGTTTGTTTGGTTGGTTGGTTGGTTGGCTATGCTTTTGTTCCTTTTGTGTGTATGTTCTTTTTTTTGGTTGTTTGTTTTGTTTTGTTTCGTTTGTTTGTTTGTTTGCTTGTTTCTTTGCTTTGCATTGCTTTGCTTTGCGTTGCTTTGTTTGTTCTTGTGTTGCTTGTTTGAATGTTTGATTGTTTGTTTTTTTTGTTTGTTTCTTTGCTTTGCGTTGTTTGTTTTTGTTTTGCTTGTTTCTTTGTTTGTTTGTTGTTTCATTTTGTTGTGCTTTGTTTCCCTTTTACGTTTGTTTGTTTGATTGTTTTTGTTTGTGTTTGATTGTTGTTCGATTCCGTCTTGCTTTTTTTCTGGAATCTTGCAAGATTGAACTTGCTGGCCCAACTTTCCGCAGTCAGCTTGAACTCTGACTTTTCTGCAGCATTGAGGTTTAACGTAGGCTTGACATAATTAACGATGCTTTAACAAATTTAAGTGTCTTGAGCTAGATGTATATTGCGGGTTTCCTGGGCCAATGTAAATGCTTAGTTTTGGAAATTTGATTTAGTTGCATTAAACCTGTTTGAAGAGGTTTGAAGGAGGCAGCAATAGGCAGCAGGTGTATTTTTGTAGAGGAATATATCAAGTTTATTATTGCTACCTACTAGAAAAGAACGGTTATTCTTGTAGGGGGATAGGTTAAGTTTAATATTGTAGACTTCTGATAAAACCAAGTCTTTATTCTTTGCAGGATCTTCGTGGTGCTCGTTGCCAAGACGTCTTCTGATTTTGTTCGGATGTTTAAATATGTTGACTGTTTGGGGCTAGGTTTAAATTTCAATTTTGCTGAGACAATGTAATTGATTAGTTTTCTTTTGTTGAACTAGTTATTTTTGTAGAAGAAGGAACTCGCCCTCTATTTTCAACGTACTGAAGTATTGGTTCCTTTTCTGACAGTAGTTTATTATTGCATGGTTTTGGTAGCCCGGAAACTTTGGGTTTATAATTGACCCGTGGCTTACTATTGTGATGTGAGCCCTATATGTTTGACTATCTCAACCTGCTTGAACCGTTAGACTCGCAAAACAAAACACTCTCAAGGTGTTGGCTGGGATGGCGCCGACAAGAAGAAGATGAAGAGCTCTTTTGAGTTGGAGGTGGTGTCTTGCCAGGAAAGGATCCTCATGGAATCATGGATCATGAATCAGAAGTTCGCATAAGTTGTTTGCCTTTAATGGAATGCTGAACCAACAGCTTAGTAGTTTTCCTGGTAGAGGAAAGTGGAAGGAACTCTCCAACAGGCACGGGCTGGCTCTTGTTTTGCCTTCTTTGGAGGTCATTACGACTCTTGCAAGGCAAGGCAGAGTCGAATACAACCAATGACCCCTTGAAAAGTGTACAAACCCATTAATTTGGAAGTGAATTTTGATAAGATCTCCCAACCAATGGATTGGTTTATTTCCCTTTTTGAGGGGGGGTCTTTGGGAGGTATCCCCATTAAAATACACACACATCTTAGGGGATGCTTCATCCGTCACCACCCTTCTTGCAAGCTAAGTAGGAGTCCTCTTTAAAGCCAGTGAAGATGGTGATTTTGCTGTCCTCATTGTCTCTTTGCAACTCGTTTTTTGGGAATCGGATGAATTCGACTCGGTGAAGACAGAAACTCACTCCGTGAAGACGTCCAGGACGGGGGCGATCCATGACCTTAATAAAATCTCAATCTTTTAGCTGGATAGCTGTTCCCTCAAACCAATTCTGGGAGGACTGCTTTGTAGCTCGTATGAGTCACACATGAGTCACATGAGGCTGGCTTGCTGGACTTGGCGACCCTGGCTTCCCAGAAGGGTTTGCGCGAAAGAGGCAAGCGGGGACCGTGCTGGGTGAGCTGTGTGAGTCGTGTGGCGCGAGCTTCTCGGGTGGACTTAGAGTACAAACCGCTTCGGGTGCAGTCTGAGTGGGGGATGAAGTTTCGACAACAGCAACAACAGCAACAAGAACAATGGTACAACAACAAACAACCTTCTTTTCAACATGTTGTAGAGCTGCGTAGAATCCGAAACTCGGCCACCCTCACCCTGGTCCCTTCTGGTCCCTTCATGTTGGGGTTGCCGAACCAGTGTGGAACCGATGGTTCGGCCCTCGCGGAGGCTTAAAGGCCTTGGCTGAGCATTTTGGCCTGCACATGAAGAAGGACGGAACAGTCTGCACGGAGGTCGACCGCGCGTTTTTGCGGGACACGCGCAGGACACGCGAAGGAATCCAACCTCTAGCCGATTTCCTCCAAGACCAACAAAAACATGGTTGACCTCGTGTTGTAGTCTAAAATCCTTTCTAAATTAAAATATTGATATTTTGATAAGAACTAAGAACCGTTAAATCAACGGTGCATTGAATCCTAGGGTCTAGATACCTCTGAGGCCAGGAGACATCAACGTTGATGTCAAAACCACATCAGCACCAGTGTAGACGATGTTGGAATTCTTTTGAATCGTTTTGGTGGCGCTTGGCACTTTGTCCTTTGATACACCGATGCACAGATGAACATTACATTGCGCCGGGTCCAGCTTGTGGGTCAACTCGAGCTTTGCGTTGGGTTCTCAGTCCAACATGGCTCCAAAATTTATCCACCTATCCAGGAACTAAAAACTGGAACGTGGAAAACGCCATGGGTTTGCAGAGGACAGTCTTCCAAAACCTTCTTTTGGGGGGAATGGAAGACAACTGTCTGGAAGACACAGGATCCCTCAACCAGAATCCACACGACGGCTCAGTGCTGGAAGACGAACGGATTTTTCGCTCGGGAACGCGACGGCGAAGTCGCACGCGACGGCTCGGTTTGGGGAGTGTCGATCTCTTCCGTGGCGGGTTGCGGTTCCAGCGTTGGGACTGGTATATGCCGACGTGGTTTGAGGGGTCAACGTCAGCATATATGACCATCGGTCGTGTTTGGGAACCAGCATCCAACCAGACATCCACTATCCTCTATCCTCGCTATCCTATGCTATCCTCATCCAATATAACTTGTTCTTCCACTGCTACTGGCTTAGGGGACGTACGTGTACAGAGGGTGTGTCCCATTACTACCAAACAGTCGGTAAAAGATGATCACTATTTTTTGGAAAGGGTCTTCACTCACCATCAGCGTCCACCGTTACTCGCAGTTACCGACATGGGAAAGTTCCGCAAGTCGTACGCACACAATTTTGCAGACAACACATTAAACACCATCAAACACTATTTTTTCTGGTACATAGTGTATAGATTTATATATTTATATAGTATACTAGTAGTACATCCCAGTACATTCCCAGTACCAAAGATGCCAGCTACAGTCCAAGAAAGACCACAGTGCTCCTCCAGTCCCTCCCGTCCCCTCCATGCTCCCGTCCCGTCCCGTCCCTCCCTGCGCTCTCATGGCGTAACTCGCATCTCGCACCGCGGTGAGGAGACACGTGTGGCACGCTCCAATTGGGCAGCGCTCCATCTCACCGAGGCTCAGGGGGATCCCGGTCGGGTCGCCACGCGGCCTCCGTTTGAGGCTTCAGCCCATGGGACGTGTAGCTGAATGGAATCAAAGGCAAGGAAATCCTTGCAAGATCTAACTTTACCATTAAGTCATCATGTAGTCATGATCTGCAAGTAAGATCCATTTCATTCCATTTCTAGTGATTTTCCCAAACAAGAAAGTGAATCTGCTGAAAACAAATGCTGTTCGGACACCGCTTCCATCTGTTCTACAAGGAACAGCAGAACCTTGCCACTTGCCAGTACAAAACTCTTTTTGCTAGATGATCTAGATGCAGGTGCCGGCCACAGCTTGTGAATAGACTTGGCATGTCCTGAATACTAAAAGGTATAGCCTGGCTGGGACCGACAGATCAACGACTATCACCTTCAAGGAGCTTCTCATCTAAGAAACCCAAAGTAAGTAGATCAGAGTTTACAGGACCAGGACGGATCTTGTTGCATTCGAGGGGACTTCCACTCAATTATGCCGTACCCAGGCGATATTCGTGGGGTCACCTGCCTTCACGCTGTGAAGCTCGGACACCCGGTCGAACACCCGGTCGGAGGACCAGATCGCCTATGCGGCGGAAGATGCCTATTTTACCTACATCTTAAAAGACAAGCTAGAGGCCAGGCGTTTTTTTGTTTGGCGGAGTTGTCAAGGTCATGATTTCGATGATGTTTCTATGTTCTTTGCTTTCGGTGGGTAAGGGGGAGGCTTTTTGTTATGGGTTTCAAGTCGGTGATTTTATGGAGAGATGACTGGTCTTTGTGTGAACATCTCCGGTGGCCGGTATATAAAGGCACGCAAACTTCAACCAAGGCTTCAACAGCTCATGCGGCATTTGTGTGAAGGCTTTCAGAAGCATTCTGAAGGGTTGTTTTTGAACACCAAAACAGAGCTCTTGCTCAAGACTAGCTAAGTCTCATCACAAAGGGAGAGTAGCCACACTGTATTGCATGCGCTTTTGAGGGATAGCTGCCCTTTGGTAGAGATGGGTGTAGCTTTCTGTCGAGTGGATTTGGTGGTCTTCTTCAGAAAAGAAGTGGATCCAGCTACTACAGTTGCTACTTTTGTGTCTGGCCGATGGTTCAGAAGAATCATGAGCCCATGTTTTTTGCAACATTCAGTGGGTTCACAGGGGTTCACAGAGACGGGCAAGCCTATCCTTGACGGAGGTGTAACCATTCACGCTCAACGTGAGGTCATTGAAGACTTGCTGGACGATTCCAGTTTTGACCCTGTTTACAGTGCTCAGTGATGGATCCAAGAATGATTCAAGGATCCCGCACGATGGTCGGGTTTGAGACATCTCTTGAATACCAAACAACTACAACAAAGAAAGACGACAACGACAACAACAACTGCTGCTACTTTTGTTCTTCGGTACCCCCACGGCTCCGCACAACTACTGTGACCCCTGGTGATTCTGTTTGTTCGTTTGTTTGGACCAAACATTCCCAGGCTCTCCCCACGGCCCCACGGCCATTCCCAGGCTCTCCCTGACCTCGAAGAGGAGGGTGTGGATCTGGCAGTTGAAGGGCAACTGGCACCTTGGTGCGTGAACGACTTCGGTTAGACCTTTAGTTGAACCGATCGAGCGTCCCTTTTGAACCGATCGCACTCCCTTTCAGGCAAGCTAACTTCAACAATGATACGTGCGTGTGTGTGTGTGTGTGTTTCTTTTTAAACATATGATGTTTCCTCTGAACCTAATGTAAATATGCCAGTCATTAGCTAAGCAACCTAGTCCCGTTAGTCGTGTTTGCGAAAGACTTGCAATGTTCAAAAAGCAAGCATTTGCTGCATGTCCCTCTCATGAAATACACCTTGCTCGCTTAGAGGCTCTTGAGGCCCTATGTAATCACAGCAATCTGAGGGACTAAAGAAAGACATGAGACGACGCTGCTAAAAAGAAACATCAATACTTTACAACATATGTGTTCATACCTTTCCCTTGATGTTTCACCAATTATAGAGAACAACACTTCAACCCACCTGTGCCTCGTGGCACGTGGGTCCTGCACATCAACCGAAACACAGCTGAAGAGTGGCTGATTAGACCAGAACTACATGGAAAACACATGAAAGAAGCGTTTGCTTATAGGGTGGATGTTTCCCAAAATCGAGCACCCAAGTGTGGCAGCTAGATGGAAAACAGAGGATGGCAGAGGGTGGTGACCTGTTAATCGTGGGGTGGTGGGTGAAAAGTCATTCTTTTGGTGAAATGCCTCTTGATTTTTTGATCAATAGACCTACAAGCTACTGGTAACCTCATCATTTTACAGAGGGTGATAAATATCCTGGTGAATATGTTTGACTTCTTTACTGGTTCTTAGCAGCTTCAACCCACCAGCGTGGTTCACCCGGCATATCCACCACCACCTGAGGCTTTGCAGCCAGGCTGGAAGGAGGCGGGTATCGTCCGCAAGCACGACGGGCTCCACTGCGCCTTGTGTAGCCAGGGGCCGATGAACACGCACGACGCCTTAGCAGAAAGCATCGCAGGGGGATGGGGATGGGAGTGGAGTGGAGTGGATTTGATGTTTTTTTTGATGGTTTTTTGAGAGGTTTCGGAAGTCCTGGTGGTTTGTAGCCGTAGGGGATTCGGGATTCTATCATCATCTATCATCGATTGAATCCACAATTGAAAATAAGAAACACATATTAGTAATATGTGCATTCAGAAATACCAGTCTTTCAGAAAAAGACTCGACACAAAAGTCATTTGAAATGCGCATTTTCTAATTGTAGCCATTTGGGCTATATTGGGCGGCATTGTCCACGTCCAAAGCCTGTCATACGGTGACAAATGGGAACATGCAGCTATGTCAGAAGTAGTGAGATACCTTCGTGGGTCGAAGGGTGCGTCCATCCCAGATCTCAGAGGAATGGCGCCCAGAGATTTAGAGCTTGTCAAACCGGCAGAGCAAAAGCCCCGGGTGACAAAGTTGTTCTACCCGGAAACGCGCGTTAAATACACGTCTTTACTCGTTCAATACACTTTTTTACCCGTCCTATACACGTCGTACCCGTCCAATGCGCATTTTTCCCCGTCCACTTCCTACAGTTATGAAGCTTTTGAGCCCGTGGTGGGACATGCTAGCAGGATAGTCGGAGAGTGAGTTCAATAACTGTAAGCCACAGAGTGCTAGACCGGATCCGTGTCAAAGTGAAGTGGGCGATCCGGAAGTTGAGCTGGTAGCGTAGACAATCAGGGCCTTCTTAGTGTCTTTCAAAACAGGACCATGCACCACAGAGTTGGACAATTCTATTTTCAAGTGTGCAGACTTTTAAAGTGCCCGGAAGTCTCCTCAAAGTCAAGGGCACAAACAATGAAGATGCAGGTGTATATATACCGTTGCATCCTCGAGGCCCCAAAATAGGACGCCAGTGAAGGAGGGGCCTGAGGGGGGGGTGCACCATGTATATATATATATATGAATAATATGCATACTAGAAGCTGATCAGTAAGTGCACAATTATATTTGTCTAGCTTGTTGAAGGGTCAGTAGGATCTGTGCGGATTTTGGATCTACAGAAGTCTCTTAGGGGATTCGTTGCGGGGATGAAAGTTTCAACAGCTTTCGAGGGTCCAACTAGCTTGCTGAGGCGTTTGGATTGCCTCAACCATCTTTTGTTGCACTGGTTGTTGCTCAACAAGTTGCCTTTTGAGGTGCTTGGATCCATAGCAGCACAGGTTGGGTAAACACGTGTTTTTTTTCCGGCGACCTGAGGGGGTGACAGTTTGCGAACCCACCGCTTGCTTGGCTCCTCCGTTCTGAGGAAAACGTGAAGATGCACTTGAGAGGCAACAATCACGCGCCTTGGCCCAGCTGCTTGTGAAGGGCCTTCTCATCCCAAAGGGGCGCTGCCAGGGCGAACGTGATAGTCCTCGTTATTTTTTCGGTTGGGGCCTGGGGTTTATGTTGTAATTTGTGTTTTTGAGCGAATCAGCTCAAAAAAAGAAGGATCAACATTCATTGGACGTTCATTATATAGACATGTCTCAAAGCGTTTTGCAGCCACGTGGGCGACATCAACTCCACATCCTTTGGTTTTTGCCGAACGGTACCACTCCCGAACGGAAGAGTTGAAACATATCAGTGGGCCGTTGGGACGCGTAGCGTTCACATCGTTTGGCCTTGATGGCCTTTTACGGTGGGTTAAACCCGCAAGTGTACAACAAGTAGGTGGTACGAAGACAGACCCCTCTGTGATTCCACAAATTTGGGGACATCACTGTATAGTTTTCCCAATGTTCACCGCTTGGAATGATGGGAAAACGTACTTGGCTCTTACACGTCTTACATACGTCCTGCTCCAGTGTGGGCACCGATCTTTGCCGCTGTGAGGTCAAAAAGACGAAAGCTTTGCAAGGAGCGCGCCATGCCATGCTGCAGACGAGGGTCGGATGTACTAGCAGACGCCCCTGACGCCAGTGCTTCAAGATGAACGCCACGTACTTCCTTTTCGCGACTCCGCAGACTTGGTTCGATGGCTTCAGCATGAACCCATCGAACCTACAAGGTCCCACCTTCTTCCTCCCCACCTCGCCCCAAGACAGCTTGGGAATCGGAAGGCAGGAGTTTCCCAGTGCACGTACCGTAAAGCTGCCGAAGGACATGGCTGACATCGTTTCATGTCATCGAACACGGACCAGGGCTGGACGTCCACCAGGGCTCGACCAATGTGGATTTGTGTCGAGCAAACGCTTCGACGGGATGGCTATGTAAAAACCCTAAACATGGAGAGGCAAAACATGGCACAAAACCCATCAAACATCCCTTTTGACATGAATTTGCTTGGTTTGTCTTGATCCGCCCAGCAGCCGAATTACCATCAGCCGGTATTTGGGGGGTTTGCGTGTTCAGTGAGTTCACTCAGTAGCCAAGTTTCATCTACCAGTTCCATGGAGTTGGGTGCCGGTCACGAAGTGCAGAAGTCGGGGTGCCCAGGATCATGCCAGATCATCCATCCACACGAACCAAGCCACCCCCACTCCATAGAACTCCTCCCACATAATTTAACCCATGCCAGCACTTTCCAACAGGTCTCCTCTGGAGGCTTTTGCTGACCTAAAAGTTGCAGGTGGTGACCTGTTGGAAGGTCCTGGTGTATATTATTTAGCTATTAACCCCTGAAACCACCCCACTGTAGGCAAAATATCCTCTATACATGGAGTGTTTGGGCCTGGTACCTTCCCCCTTCTCCGAACGCGATGGACCGCCTTCACAACCTGGCCCGACCTGGCGATCGCAAGCGGGAGGATTGGGTCCGGAGGGGCACTACGTCTTGACCCAGGAGCAGGAGAACAATGGGAACCTTGAATTGATTAGACCACAGAGATTCGAGACCTAATTAGGCAGGGAGGTGGAAAAATAGGTTGTGAAGTATGAGAAATTCCACTCTATAGTCTAGTTGAGTGGAGGTGCTGCTTTTGAGGGTCATCGACCAGTTGAATCACTACTGGAGCAAGCCATAGGCAGGGCCGCCCTCGGGGCATGGAAGGCATGAGAGGAGCGACGTCGCATGGCTCTTTGGAGGTTCAACATGTCGAAGGTATACACTCCCTGAAATAATCATGGGCCAACGTGGGTAGCATGGCCCCGAGGCCCCTGTCGCATGGACCGTGAAATCCAAAGACCACTGCAGGTGGTTTTCACTCCACTTCCATGATCAGGAAGTGTTTTTTCAGTAATGGTGATAATGGTGTGAGGCGCCAGGAACTCAGCCTCCATACATTCGTGCGTTGAATGATTTGAGAAAAAAGCGGCTCTAGGGTGATGCATTTGTATCTAATGTTTTGGTATGAGGGCGGGATGAGGTTCTTTGAAAGTATAGAATTGAGTGGTGGGACGGGATGCTGTGAAAGAATAACTATATATACATTTATATACTCAAATCTGACAAGAACTGATTCTGTCGATATACCAACAGCATGCATCAGCGATATTGAATTCAGTACTGGTTAGTTCTCAATCAGCAAACAGACATAGCACTGGATATATTTGACAGTGGGTCCGAGCAGACAGAAGAACCGAGCCCTGTCGTTCGATGACCTCTTGTGATTGGAACAGAAACCATGAGGATTTGCGTGATTCTGGGTTCTGGAACCACATCAACTGTACCACTGTAGCAGTGTAGTACGCCGAAAGAAACGACCAGTTCTTGTTCCAGATGGGCCTCAGCAGCTCGCCGAGGCCGCCAACCCCTTGGCAATTTGTCAGTGATCATGACAGTTTCATGACATATTCATACCACTCGCAGTCACAACTCCCAGCCTCTTCGTTCGTTCGGGGACTGCACCAAAACGACTCTCACCTATACCCCTCGTTCCCGGTACGCGACGGGACTCGACTCCGTCCGCGTCGTCTCGTGCTCGACGCGTGCGACGGAGTCGGTTCGTCCCGAGCGCAAGGGATCGGTCGGTCCGACGGATCGCTCTTAAGGATCTATGCGGGGGATGGAACCAATGGAGACTTGGAGTGGAGCGGTGGGCTCCGTTGGCGGTGCGGTTTCCGCGGTGGTGCGGTGGTGCGGGACGCGGAATTCCGGGTGCCAGTCTTTGCGAGGTTGGGCAGGAAGTGGGGGTGAGGCGGTAGTCCGGGGGGGCGGGTGAGGGGTTCCATGCCCACACCACACAGAACACCTTTTAATTACATTGTCCCGGAGAACTTAGGGTGCTAATGGCTGGTATTTGTTGTCCCTTTCTAATCCCCAGAGTCTCAAAAACTGGTTGCCAGGTGTCAGACCGGTAGATGTTTGGTCAGCTTTTCTCATGCGCTGTCGCGTGACCCGTGGAGGATGGATCCGAAGGTCCCATGGAGGGGTGATATTGGTCAACGGGTGGACGAGAGCTTCTTGGTCACCGGGTCATCGATGACTGGGTCAGAGTCGGTCGAGATGTGTGAGATGTGTGGTGCTCCTGTGACACCAGTGCCTGACTTTCAGTGTCCAGAGGAGAATCGGTTTCTCCCAAGCTCACCGTGAGAAGCATGAACTGTCCACGAGAAGCATGAAGGGATTCCTCAGGTGTTCATGATTCATTCCGATTCAGCTCACCATCCCAGACACTCCATGTATGGTATTTACCGATCAGTTGGGGTTTTAGGGGTCAATGGGGCATATACAGTATACCCATGGGTCGTGTCTAGGCATGTCCCAAAACCACGGAAAAAACACCGGAACGCGGAGAACCGTGTTGATTCTTCTCCCCACCAGTCACGTCTCCATGCTTCTCTGCGCTGCCCTGGCGCCCTGTGGCCCGACGGACCTAAGGAGCAGAGAAAGGCGAGTGGAAATGTCGCTTGCCCCTTGGCGCAGCGATCCACCGGATGAAAACGGATGAAAACCATTGAAAACCAGATTCCACTGGTTTCGCTTATATAGACATACTGTATTTATTTGTTCGGAGTGGTTTCCCCATTAATTAAAAGTAACTAAGTAGAAACAAGGATATACTGGTACCTTTATGATCCACGGAACCTGAAGGAGTCAGCACAGACAGCCACATAACACATCACCGTACCGTAAACGGTAGGGTGCCAGTCTGATCCCTTTTGGGACAGTGGAAAGTCCTCCGGTTTTGGTTATATAGGGGGTCCCGGGCCAGGTCCAGCCTACGTAAAACTGCATTGCTGGGGGCCACACAGCACCCCAGTTGATGTGCCGAGCGCTCAGTGGCCTAAAAGGATGTGGTTCAAACAAATAACTAAGATTCAGTGATGGCACTGGCACCCCGTTCGATGTCTTAGACAGATCGGGGTCCATTTGTCAACCACCCAGCTTGGGGAAACTGTGCCATCGAACCTCTCAATCCACTATTAGATATAGACCCATAGGACCATCCTGTCAACGGGTGTCCTGTGTCCTGGAGATTCCCAGTGGTCGTCGTGATCGTCTCCACACTCGTGACTTGGGAGCTTGGGAGGGGAGGGTCTCACAGTTTGTAGTACACCAATCTTGAAGTGGGTCGATGTCCTTTGTTTTTTTGCATGTTTGCTTTCATGAACCACCAAACGTATATACTTGGGCTAAGTCTAGTGTCATGGCATCTCCACGATTCTTGGGTCGTGACAGAGAAAGAAAGGTGTTCAAAGTGTGCTGTTCATGAACGGCTTTAAAGAATATCATTCCCATACACTCCGTGTATGGAAGATATGCCTATATGCATTGACCCCCCATTTCAGCACCCCTGGCCGAGAAACTCGGCCGTCCTATGGCAATCCCAGACGGGTCGCGTCTGGGGATTGAATCTCCACGTCTCACCCACCACTGACGTCCAGTCTGTCAGTACAGCCTGACCTCTCAGTCCAGTCTCCTTTTTCATCCTTTTTCGCTCGTTGTGTTCATATGACCCACTGACCCGTTGGACCATGAGATGGTTCAACAGACCTGTAGCTTCCGGTTTGACGGGAGCTTTCATGCATGGCCCCCGTGGAGGTGCAGAATAGACACGACATACGCGACAATTTGCAGTGTTTCGACATGCTGACTCCTGACACCCACATCAACTATGGTAATTCCTTTTGTTTTATAGGAATGTTCCTTGGACACATGCCTGTCCTTCAGGATCGTAACCATGGATCTCTGGTAAGCTTCTTTGGTTGCGAACGACCCGGCGTTGAAAGGCAGCTGCCTTTCAACGCTGCGTTCGTTCGGCCGATCAGCAACTTCTTCGGTCCATGACGACTCCACCAAGTGGTTTCATCCCCGACTCGGGCGGCTGTTCGGTTGTTGACCACCACCACCACCACGACGACGAGCAGAAGCTTTGCACTCGCAACAGCAATGCGGAGGTGTGAGCATGTCGTCATCAAGAGTGTGCAAAGCACCCTGGTTGTTGGCAAGAGAGGTGATGGGGTCGTTTTGTTCACTGCAAAAGCCAGCAAATGATCCTCATATATCCTCATTCTTCTTGAAAAGCACCATCCTGCATTGGAAACTGGTAGAGGCTTTGATATGTCCATGTATGTCCTATTCATCCCCATTCATCCCCATTCATCCCCAAACGCCTTATAACTTGTGTGTTTTTTAACCCAACGCATCGACCGGTCGCCGGAGCCGGTCGCGGGTTCGCGCGTTCGCCGGTCGCGTGGGTCAAGAACACCGGCCAGTCTGAGATGATTCCGGGAGGATTGAGAGGATCTTCACAGACCTTTGATGGCTCAGACCTTTCTTTCTTTCTTTCTTTGTTGCTGTTGTTGGGTGAAGATAATTTCTAGAAACGTTTTCCATTGCACCTCTCAAAGACTCGCAGATGAATGGTCCAACGCGGGCAATTGCCAGATCAGATTCTACTTCACCGGATCATCCAGGATCAGATTCTACACTGCCAGATTGATCAGCGTCCAGGATGGTCCATAAGACTGGGATGAGACTGTGTTCTGTTGGGGGTGGTCGGGATGGTCGAGAAGATTGGGATGAGATGGAGGTGCAGGCTGACTTTTCCCGCTTGAGCCCGCAATCCGGATGGCCGCCAAGAACAGCACGCCGATCATCCGCTATTCCGGGCGCCGGCCCCAGGGCCAGCCCGTGTGTCGCCCGGAGGGCCTTCGGTGTAACCGAAGGTTATGGAGCGACGCCCCCGAGCGCCGACCACCCCCGGTTCACCTCCTACCCACCTCCCACTATGTAATTTACAGTGTTTCGTGTGTGTGTGTGTGTGAGGTACACAAAACACTGTGTTTTGCAGTGTTTTTTGCGCATACTCAAAATGTGACGTGGCGAAGATGGAGAAATGCAAAAACACTGTGTTTTTGAAGGGTGGTGTCGGTAATGCGCGTCGGGCGGACAGGCATAATCGACATTTCGTGGGTGTCGGGCACGCTCCAACAGCAACGGCGGAAAATGTGCGCCAAGATGGCCTGACAGAGGCCGTCCAGATGACCCTGCATAGGTCTCAGATATGGCCCCACCTAGCCGCAAGATGACCCTACATAGGTCCCATATATGGGAAACATAGCCCTAGATGGGCCAAGATAGCCTCAAGATGTGGCAACATAGGCCCCACACAGTCTCAGAGAGAGAGAGAGAGAGAGACAGAGAAGACAGAGAAGACAGAGAAGACAGAGACGGACACAGACAGAGACAGAGACAGAGAGAGGAGAGAGAGAGAAAGACAGAGAGAGAGAGAGAGACAGACAGACACTGAGACAGAGACAGAGACGGAGACGGAGACAGAGACGGAAAGAAAGAAAGAAAGAAAGATACATACACCCGGGCGTTCAGCCCCCTTCCACATTGAATGATGTTGCCGGGATGCCCGGCGTCCCGCCCCCGCCTCATGTCTTTTGCTTCTATCCCCTCTATACCGTCCTACTTTTGCCCTGTGTTGGGCCGGCGCCCGGCTGTCAGGCGTAGGCCTCAAAATCAATTGGAGGCAGTGGCTTGTAGCTTGGTCACTGCTTGCCTCCATCCTAATAGCCAGGCTTTCCATGCGTTGATAATGCAAATGCAAATTATGATGCTGGGCCTTTTGCCTGTTTGATTTGGGCCCCTCGCAAAGGACCTAGATATGTGGAAGGTATTCTCCAAAGAAGAGGAGGCTTTTCGTGCAAACGGTTCGGCGCTGCCAGAGCATAGTTCGACGGTTCACAGTGGTGAGCACGCTGTTCGCACGCTGGATGAGCGCACGCTGTCTCAATTGACTCTACCGGAGCCGCACGGTTTTCCAGTCGAAGAGACTGGGCAGCGGGCTCGGGCTTCCCGAAGCGGAGACCATTTGGTCTGATGCAACGTTCCCTGGCGAGGTTGACATGGGCTTGAACAATGCGAGAGTGCTATTGAAAGCAATGCCATCCAAAGCGAGCAGCCTGTGACTATGGTCAGCGGATGATCCAATGGTGGCGGGGGTTTGGAAGTCAGATGAGTACATCTTCAGATGAGTTCCATCGGTTTCTTTGTTCGATCTATAGGCTGATCTTCGTCGCTTGAAGTCGGAGTTTCGTTTGGTCAAGAACACCGGCGATCCGGGCATTCATGGCTTGCTAATGATTTTTGGTCGCTTGGCGAGCCGGCAGCCCTAAGACTTTTGACAGCAAAACCTCGCCATCGCCTTCTCCCATCCTGTGACTCACACACACAAGACATCCGCCTTTTTGTATCTGCGCATTGGACATGTTTTTGGTTTTTTACATCCCCAACTGAGCGCTGTACCCCCTAGTTACTGGGTATGCCGGACTCTTGCATAATCCATTAGAACTCACCAATAGGAAGTTGTAAAACTGTGAAGCATGATGATGAAACATGTTACATGTTAGTTTGGTACACATCTTGGAACATCCTTTCCTCTTGGAGGCCATGCTGCCTCCACTACCACGCAGAGTGATCCTGTTTTCAGTCACTCGCCGTCCCTCGTCCCAGTCGAGGCATCGAGTCACACATCAAGTCGAAGCAGCATCAGAAGGCCGTTTCTCCCGAGGTCCGCCGCGACCCGACGCGCCGTTGCCGCGCCGGTCCGGGTGGGTGCTCGTGCGCGGACACTTCACCGCGGTGGTGTTTCCCACCGCCACGAAGCGCGGTTTGGTTGGACGCCTGGGTCGGTGGAGCGAATCCGTTCATGTTCGGTTGCGCGTCTCTTCCAGGGCCCGGTGGTTTGGACCCAGCGGGAGTGAGTTCGAGCTCGGAGGTGCTTGGGTGGTGGAGTGCACTGCCAACGAGGGAGGGTGAGTGAGCCGTAGACCGATGAGTCAGCGTGTTTTTTGTTGATGTTTCTTCCGCCGAAAATGCAGTTGATTTGATAAAGGTGAAACACTAGTGAACACAGTGGCCCCATCAAGTCCTGAAGTGTTTCTCGTGCATCGACATCGAAATACCCAAAACTTCACCCATTGCAAAGCTTCAACCCGGAAGATTGAAGGAGAAGTAGCTGAACAGGTTCTTAACTGTTTTAATAACATATATATATATTATGTTGTTCGTTCGTCCTTCTGGACAAAGCCCCAAGCGAAGGTTGGAGGGCTCAAGAGGTTGGTCTTGGATGGATTGGAGAGGCACCCTCAAGCCTCCACCTCCAGTTCCACCTCCGTCAATCCCCACAGTCCTTTGCTTCTGCGCCACGTTGTTGCGCTTTCCGGCGGCCTGGCCGTAGGCAGAAGTGAACTCGCCGAGCAAAGATCCGTTCCTGGGTGGCCTAACGTCGAGAAGAGCGTGAAATGTAACGACTGGGACCAGGAACATGGCACCCATCATGGTCAATAAAAATACATAAAACACCCTTGTTGGAGCACACCGTAGAAGAGGTATAGGTATAGGTGGTTTATACCCGTTCCCTCCTGAAAAAGACAAACCAAAAAAACGGAGCGCTGACAGCTTAGAACTCCTACCTATACATCTTCTCATGTGTGATTCGCTGCTCGAACCGGTGAGCTGGTGCGAACACGCTGGTGCGACAGACTGGCCGTGGATGGCCGTGGAAAGACGGGATGTAGATCTCAAGTGACTCTTGATGTAGGGATTTACAGCTCAACTGCTGGTTATTCATAATATGGCTGTAGGCTACAATGTGCTGTAATACGTTTTTTTGCTTTTCTTGGGCGGGCATTGGTTGGGGAACTGTTTGGCCGCGAGTGATCAGACTGAAATGGGCTGACAGTGTGCAACTGACAGTGTGCAATCACTCATGTTCCTGTTGCAAGAAGACGCAAGACTTTGTACGCATGTGGAACCTGCACCGTGGGATGTAGGTTCGATGTCCTTTCTTTGATTGTGGTCTTCAGCGGGGGATCTTTGTTTCAACTTCGCAAGGGAGTCTTCAATCATGATGCAGTTTTTCCCCAAACAGTTTACTGTTGGGGTTCTATCTTAGAAAGAAAAGAGCTGGCCACACTCACTGGCCGCGCCCCTGAACTCTGTGGCTGGGCTCTGTGGCTGGGCCTTGTCCTCCTCTTGTCCTCCTTTTGGCCGCGCCCCTGAGCTCTGTGGCTGGGCTCTGTGGCTGGGCCTTGTCCTCCTCTTGTCCTCTTCGCGGCGCCCCTGAACTCTGTCAACTCTGTGGCTGGGCTCTGTGGCTGGGCCTTGTCCTCCTCTTGACCTCCCCCTGAACTCTGTCAACTCTGTGGCTGGGCTCTGTGTCCAGGCCTTGTCCTCTTGAACTCTGGTTTTTGCACACACTTTTGGGGTGTGTTTTTCAGTTTTTGATCTTTTTTGCTTGTGTAGATTACACATGTTTTCGTTTTATCTTTGCTGGCTTTTTCTTCTTTGTTTCTTGAGAAACATTCCTTTTGTTGCAGCCATGGCAACAGATGCGTTGACGCAAGTGTTGGAATCATTTGCAATAGAAGTTCTGGAGGACGATTCCTCAATGATGATCTCATCGCTGGAGGAGGTACAGAATTTATGCCGTTACGCAGGTGCCTCTCACCCACTCACCCACCTTCACTCTCAATCACATTCACTCTCACTCACACTCACTCTCACCCACATTCACTCTCACTCACCCTCACCCTCACCCACACTCACTCTCACTCCAACTCACTCTCACTCGCACTCGCACTCACACTCACACTCGCTCACTCTCCCACTCTCCCTCACCTCCCTCACACTCTCACTCTCACCCACACTCACTCTCATACACACTCACTCACGCACACTCACTCTCACTCACACACTCACTCACACTCACACTCACACTGGCACTCACACTCACTCTCACTCTCACTTTCACTCTCACTCTTATTCTCACTCTCACTCTCACTCACCCACTCTCGCTCTCGCTCTCACTCTCACTCTCACTCTCACACTCTCACTCACTCACTCACTCACTCATGCACTCACTCACTCACTCACTCACTCACCGACTCTCACTCACTCACTCACTCACCCACCCACTCACTCACTCACTCACTC